CCCGGGGCGCGGGGGGGGGGGGGGCTGGTGCAGGGGCGGTGGGGGGGCAGCCATGCCTCCGGAAACGTGGGGCCTTGCAATTAAGTGCTGGAAACTCGTCTGGATCAGAAAAGTGGTCATTCCAAGGAAGGTCCAGAGAAAGGCACTAAAAAGGGGGACAGGGGGTCACCTCAAAGCCCTCTCCTAATGGAAGCAGAAGCTTGGGGCGAGTTCACCCGGCCGGTTGCATCATGTTTCACCGCGTACACGGGACCCTCCACCACGTAGAGGGCGGGGGTGAGGAAAAGAACATCTAGACCAGGAGCGGCCTCGGCGCCCTCCAGGCCTGTGCTGCTGTAACCGTGGTGCTGCTGTAACCGCCCCCGCCCCCCAGCAGACTCTGCAGGATATCGGAGGAGGGGGCCAGCGCTGGCTCTTCGGAAGACCATAAAAATCAGGCCTGAAAACACAAGAGAAGGCAGTGCTATTGTTCTAATTCACAGCCAGTCGTCAGCTGAGGGCCCTAACGGTGCCCTGGGGTGATGAATGCAACGGAAGGCTTCCCACCTGTGACAGGTGACACGGACCCACCGCACAGGTAACGGGGCCTGGGAGCCTTTCGGCTCAGGGACCGCTGGTTCTGGCTTTACATGCCCGGGAAAAGCAGATCTTGCCCTGGAAGAAACAGTTCGCACCCTTTCCGGCTCATTAAAGCTAATTTTGCAAATTCCGAATATCTCACGTGAACCTTCTAATGGGTTTTATCTGGCTTTGGTTATTATGCTTTCTGTAAGAACTAGCTTGCTTCACTAACAGACCTCTTTCCAACGGAAGACTTTCGTTAGCTTGGAAGCGCTGAGCCTCCCTCTCCGAAGGTGAACTTTGTGGCTCTCTCCTTAGACAACAGCCCGCGCAGCCTACACCGCAGCCTCCGTGTGCGTTCGCAAGCAGGCAGAGGCCCACAGGGCGTGGAAGAAGCGGCCAGCGCTGTCTCCTCCCCGGGCGGGGAGGGGCACGGCCTTGGCCACGCCTCATCGCGATGCCCTGTGCATACAGCAGTCACTCAATAAATACGGACTGGACCCAGGGGGTGGGGGTGGGGGACCCTGAGGTTTGGGGAATTAAGTGGCGAAGCTCAAGGGGGATGTTTCCGGTGCGCCCTACAAAGTGGACAGGTTTGTCACGGACTGGAAATGACCGGAAAAGACGAAACCGTGCTCACAACTGCGGAAGCATGAAATGTTCACGAACTCAAGGGCTAGGGCCCTTAATAAAGGCAAGAGCTCAGTATCCCTCTTACAGCACCAAGAAGGGGAAAATCAAGAATAGGTTTTAAATGAAAACACCTGAAGACCACACCTTAAAATGACTTTCCACGATTTGGGGGATTTTTAAAGTGGCATCTTGTATGGGGGATTTTTAAAGTGGCATCTTGTATGGGGGATTTTTAAAGTGGCATCTTGCATGGGGGATTTTTAAAGTGGTATCTTGCATGGGGGATTTTTAAAGTGGCATCTTGTATGGGGGATTTTTAAGTGGCATCTTGTATGAGGGATTTTTAAAGTGGCATCTTGTATGGGGGATTTTTAAAGTGGCATCTTGTATGGGGGATTTTTAAAGTGGCATCTTGTATGGGGGATTTTTAAGTGGCACCTTGTATGGGGGATTTTTAAGTGGCATCTTGTATGGGGGATTTTTAAGTGGCATCTTGTATGGGGGATTTTTAAAGTGGCATCTTGTAAGGGGGATTTTTAAAGTGGCATCTTGTATGGGGGATTTTTAAGTGGCACCTTGTATGGGGGATTTTTAAGTGGCATCTTGTATGGGGGATTTTTAAGTGGCATCTTGTATGGGGGATTTTTAAAGTGGCATCTTGTAAGGGGGATTTTTAAAGTGGCATCTTGTATGGGGGATTTTTAGTGGTATCTTGTAATAGAAAAAGCAGGCAAGGAAACAAACCTGAAGTAAGCATTCTTTGGTCAGAAATATAACAAATATTATTTAAAGTAAAATACAGTTTTAACTTGTTTTTAATTCTTTGTAGTTTGGATTCTGCGTTCCTAACAATGCTTCCTTCTCCGCCAGCAGAGCTGACTCACAACCACAAGTCAGGCTTCTCCCCGCTCAAGGCCAGCCCAGGCCAGGAGGTGTCTCTGCAACAGACACTGAGTTTGTCACTGATGCCCGAAAGAGACCCAGCAGTGTGAGTTAAGAATGTCATTAATCTAAGGTGAAGGTGTCGCTAAGGGCCCTGTTCCCACACACGAGGTAGGTAGCAGGTGACCAGCCAGGACTCCATCCAACGTGCAAAAACGCCCTGAAATGCAGAGCAGCAACTGCAGATAGTTTTTAGGAGGTATTTCCACTCTGTGTTAATGTAGGGGAAACTGGGAAGTGGGTGTAGCTCCACACTCCCACTCAGGCGGGAGTCATGACCCAAGCTGGGCACTGCGCGTCTCTGGGCCTCTCACAGCAGAGGGTTTCCACTGCAGAGACCCGGTCACCCGGAATCACCTGGAGTCGTCTCTGGGTGTCATAGCTGGGGGTGCTAGTAGTGGCATTGAGAGGCCAGGGGTGCTGCTAAACATCCACAACACACAGGGCAGCGCCCCCATAACAAAGGATTAACCGGCCCAAAACGTCAACAGCGCCAAGCCTGAGAAACCATGTCTCACAGTCTCTTTCAGCTCTAAAATTCTATAACCTACATGTCTGTTGAGTTGAGGGGTAAATACTTCTTCTTTGGGTATAAAGCTAACAAAGAGGATTGAAGGACTTGCTGAGACCAAGTGTAAACCAGAGTGAACTCAGGTCTCCTGTAACCAGACAGGTAGTGAGAAATCAGGCCTGTAAGACGGTTCCCTCCTCCATAGAAGTCCAACACCAACATCCCTCGTAGGAAGAGGGAATGGTTTTAAGTATCTTACCTCGCGGGTCTGGAACAAGGCAGATTGCAGGACTCGGCTCTTCAGCTGACGCCCTGAACTGAGCATGAACGTAACCCAGGAGAGCTGGGAGGCCAGACTCCGCGCCTAATGCATGCTCTGTTTTAGCACTTTTTGGAAACTACATGCCTCTTGGGTCTAAACAGAGGCAATGACTTGCTGAGTTCCTGAGGGCTTTCCTGCATTCTCTCCCCTACTTTCTTTGCACACGCCCGCAGCTGAGGGCGCCCACCATCATGTGGCACCCTGGTCCCAGGACACGGGATTCCTGTGGATACTGAGGCCTGTATACTCACGTGACATTTTCTTGTCCTGAACTCATCCATTCTTCATAGCTATTTATCTAAAAAGATGCTTATTTTTAATGTAAACACACTGATTTATATTGGCAGTTCCTCTACTTAAAGATATGCTGGCATTTCCACTGAAACTTTTTATTATTCAGAGTTTGCTAGTGAAGGCCTGAAAATGTCCCCAAGCAAAAGAGGTCTAATCTTTGCTACAAATATCACTGAACCACTTTTAAAATCCAAGAATTTCAGATAATTTCTTCTTCTTTACTCTTGAAACTTAAGACTGGATTTTTGTTTTTCTAAGAAAAAATCAGGACACCAATATGTACTTTAGATGAAATGTCTTTCCTACACAGAAAAAATAAATGTAAAAACTTGCTATCTCATCAAAATAAGGCATCAGGGAAGCTTTTAATATGAGAAAGTTCCTCTAAATTAGGTTTGTAACCTAAACAACCAGAGGACTATATATAAAATAGATATAACTCATAAGGACCTGCCGTAGAGCACAGGGAGCTCTACTCAATACTGTGCAATGGCCTATATGAGAAAAGAATCTAAAACAGAACGGATATATGTGTATGCATAACTGATTCACTTTGCTGTACAGCAGAAACTAACACAACATTGTTAATCAACTATACTCTAAAAATAAAAAAAAAAAAAAGAGAACCAGAGGACTAATAAAATTCTAGAACCCAAGGGGAATAAAGCCAAGAATGACAGTGTTTACATCCGCATAGCATTTTATAATGTACAGGACCACTTTCACGTACAGTCTCACCTGATGCACCTACGAGTCCTGTAAAGTGGGTATTTATCTATAGATAAAGAGAAGAGGGCTCGGATATATTAGGAGACAATTACAGCCTCAAAACTTGAAAGTATCAGAGGCCAAAGTAGAAACCAGGTCTTCTGACTCGAAATTATTTAAAATAACAATTAAGAAACATACCAAGTAGGCCCTGGTTTCTCATCTGTCCGGGTTGTAATTTGCTTGAATAGAAATACGTGTCGGCCCCCATCTAAAATGTCTAGTGAACCCCCTGCCCCTGTCCCAAACCACAACTAAGAACAGACACTCAACTCCCTGTGCTGGGCCAGTGCAAGGCCACAAAGGCAGCTGAGGGGAAGATGAGAACAGTCTTACCTGATTGTAGCTATAAGGCGTCTAAGTTCTGCAAATCTGAGGACACTGCTAGGATGAAACCTGGGGCCTTGGAAGGGGCCTCCTTGTAATGGAGGAGTCCAAAAGCCTACGCTTGATAAGGTTCATTTTCAATTTGCCTCTGATTAATTGAGGATTAAATGAATTGTAGTAAAGTAGTAATAGGAGTGTTAGCAGCAGCATCAACAGTTAGTAGTGACAGTAAATCTCTAAAACCCAGCACTGAGAGCTTGTTATTATACCAGGCCCTCTGCTAAGCACTTATGTAATTAATTTTAATTTTACTATATCGATTAGTGTAATTTTTGTTAGCACTCATATAGATAACTTTGATAGGAACGCTATATATAGTCACTGGTTTGCAAAACAATCCTACAAAATTATATGTTTTTCTACTTTTTTATAGGTAAGGAGATTGACTTGGACAAGTCCTACAGTGGAGCTGAGATTCAAACCTTGGTGTAGCTTACATTCTTCCTGATGGACAGGAATTCAGAAAGGAAGAGATCGCTACAGGCTAGAGACCTAAAAAAGCCTTTACAGAGAAGCGTGTTGAGCTGGATACCGGGGAATGAGTGGAACGGAACAGAAAGAGGGTGATCCGCACTGGGGTAGATGGGCCATGACAATAAAACAGAAATGGCGACACACAAGGGTGATTCAGGAGACAGCGATGGAGCACTTCTACAGAGCCCAAGCCCATGCTCCAAATCGTGTGGTTTCCCCGACAAAACTGAATTGAGTGAATACACTCTTAGGGTCAATTTTCTCTTTATGACATAGCCATTATCTTGTAACAGAAAAGGAAAAGGCTACGTTTCTCTAGAACCCAACTCCTCTACGGAGAGGGCTGGTGTGGACGCCAAAGTGCCTCGTCTCCGCCACCCGAAGCCCAAACGCGGCGATTCTCCAGTGAAGGCAGCGCCCCTGCTGGAGCCCAGGACTGTACAGCCCAGTCCTGCGGGGCAGGGCAGGAGAGCCAAGACAGGACCCCCAAACTGGAGCCTCTGAGCGCCAGTTAAAGAGCCTTCCTCCAAGTTCTGTGAGAAGTAGCTTCAAAACTGGGAGCTGGGGGCTGCCCTGGTGGCGCAGTGGTTGAGAGTCCGCCTGCCGATGCAGGGGACGTGGGTTCCTGCCCCTGTCCAGGAGGATCCCACATGCCGCGGAGCGGCTGGGCCCGTGAGCCATGGCCGCTGAGCCTGCGCGTCCGGAGCCTGTGCTCCGCAAC